GCCCTAGTCTTGCAGACATACCTGTGAATAGTCCCTTTCACTTCATTGGGACCACTGGCATGCATAAGGTTACTCACATGCGCAAAAGTTGGCAGAACTGGGACCTCAGACAGCATCCTGGAGCCTAGTCCCTGGTTTTTATGCTTCATGGATCAAACTTAGAATGGTGACCTAGTCTCCTATTGCCAGTTAGGAAATTGACATGTATAACACTGAGAGGGATGGATAGATTCTTTTTATTTTTAATTACTTGGAAGCCTAAATCACTCAGGGTACACTTTTTAGAAGCAACTATGTACCTAAAAACCCAGAAAAGAGGAGAGACTCTGTCCCAATCTCTAGTCTTCAGCTGTAAAATCTTTTGGTTGAGTAGGTGTTCTAAAACAGTACTGTAGTATCTGAATGATCCCACAAAATTTAGCTCATGCTAATTAGAGAGTGAAAGGACTACTATTTAACTTTCCCCCAAGCCTTTATAAAAGATGGAACAAAATTGTTAAATATTCTCAATATGTGGCCCCAAACCTGAGAGGTATGGAAATTAAAAAAAAAAAGTAAATATCTTAAATTGAGTTAGAGGAAGCTATCGGACAATGTAATTTACAGAGTGAAAAATTAGTGGAGCCCATTACTCTCTAGGATTCCTGCCTCCCCAATCCTTAGTTATTTTTCATATCTGTAACATTATGTGGATTTTTCCCTCAACAATAAATAGGAAATGATTGTATTCGTTCATGCAGCTCTTGGGCTTGAAGCCATTAGATGCCACTTAGTGCTATTCTCTTATCCAGTCTTCACTTCGTATGTTTTTAGTCTAATTATACTCTGAATATTTATGACTGAATAGGCAAGGAAATCAGTATTTATTTGGCATAGAGTATTAGTGAAAAAACATCCCCCATGAAATTTCTTGAGAACAAGTTGTTCCCAAAAAAACACCCTATGTAATCTTTTCATAAACTTGGAGAGTATAAGTAGTCATGTTACACATTAGATAGTGTGCTTTAATTCAGTCCAGGCCAACAAATAGTTTTCACTTAAACCGTCTATATTTTGTGTTCTGGTTAGTTATTCTGAAAGGGAACAGATAATTACTGTTCTACTTAAATACTTACCAAGTTAAATTTCCCATTTATGAACCCTGCTGTTCTCATGAAAAGACTTGGTGTAGTAAATCGACTGTTATACATTCTCACTGGGTAGCACAGCTAACAATAAAGCTGGCTTCAAAGATTTACCACTTCCCATACTTACTTGAGCCATCCATGCATTAGTGAGAACATTTTAGACTGATAGCTCTTATTACCTCTTTTACAGCTACAGTAGGGGTTGTCAGTATTTCCATTGTGAACTTATCTTTGTGCACTGTAATACATAGGAACCATGACATGAGAACCTGAACTCTGAATTTTCTTGCTATTTTAAATTTGTCAACTGTGATTCTGTTAATGGGGGGTTTGTACTTAATGAATCATTATATATAATTTCTGCACACAACCCCCCTCAATGAGCCACTGTGTATCCAGCTTCCCCCCTGCCGAATCCTCACTGAGCTGCCTGCACCCAGATTGCCCCCCACAAAACCCTCTCACTCCACACCTGGATTCTCGCACACTAAGCCCCTCCATACTTGGATCCTGCTGAGCTGAGTCTGCCTGCCCACACCTGGTGTACCTGGCATGGAGGGGCAGGGCCTTGGGGTGTTTCCAGGGCAGGCCCCGCCCTTGCGCTTTCTTAGGGTTGGGTGCAGCCTCACTGCGGAGTCCGTGCCCTGGGGTGGGGTGTGTGTGGGGGTGTTGTATGGTGGTCTTTCATCTTCATGCAACCAGTGGCTTGTGCTTCCCCACTGCCATGCTGGAGCCTCCACATTTATTTATCAACAAAATTTGCAGAATTTTAAAATATTGTGTGCAGAATTTTTATTTGCTTAGCGCAGAATTCCCTCAGGAGTAATGTGGCTGTAAAAACATAATTGTGTGTAAATGATATTTTTCATGTCAGTTTTCTTCTAGGACTGCAAGTTTCACAGTTCATGCAATCCTAGGATATTGCAGTGTGTGTGGTCCAATCAAATATCACTTATTCTTTAATTTTAAAATAACTGGCTGATCTGAAAATATTACTTACATTACAAAACATTTTTTATTGAAACTTTCCCTTTCTCTAGAAAAACTTCAGTGATAAGCAACGTCAAAGTATATGGAAGTCAGTGGAAAAACGTTATTTAAAATCTGCGTGTAGACTTTTAAACAGTCATAGTGAGCCGGACCATAACACCATTAGCTCCCTAACTAAAGTGCTCCATTTGGAACTGATCAGGGTGTTGTGGTTGAACACCAGTTTGAATTGACTGTACTTTGATGTGAGAGTGAGTCAGATAACATATGAATTCAGCTGGTCAAGACATGGGCTAAATTAATCTTTACCAAAAATAACAAAAGGATTTATGTCTTCCTGGGAAGAATTCAGATTTTGCGTATAACCAAAAATGGGTGACAGCAATCCTTACTTGGGAAAACATCAATCTGCTTCTTGGGTTAAACTTTCCACTGCCAGCAGCAGGTTGGAGTCAGCAGAATGCCCAGCCCTCTGGAACCTGTCTCTCCAGCAATCCACCAGAGTCTGAGTTTAATGAGCTTCAGAAACAGTGCATGATTAGCTCTTCGATTAAGCCTTTGAAAAGTTTTAGTTAGGGCATTGGGGATTTGTGTGTGTGTGTGACTGAGCTACGGGTTTCATTGCTAGCCTTTTAATCTGAAAGCTTTGTGTGTGACTGTTTTACAGTTATTCTTATGGGTGTAAGGCACCTGCATGCTTGGCTGTAGGCATCCAAGTAAATGTCTGAACTAAAAAAGTAAAAGCAGTGTAGTGATGTTGAAGAGGAAGACAGGACTTGTAATCATTTCTGTTCCAGCATCTCTCAAGATTTTCTCCTATAATCTGCCTTTCCCTTTTGGGAGCCCTGGTGGTGTTTTTTAAAGCAGGTCGACTTCTCTAGCACAGGTGTAAACTGTTATAGTTTGAACAAATGAGTTCTTGAAAATCTGCACTCATAATTCCTTCACTTGTGCACTTAGGTGTTAGAGCCTTAAAGTGTGTGTGTGTCACACATGTGAAGGCCAAGGTTTTATGTGAACTTTAGAAAGGGATAATTCTACAAAAACAAGGAGAAATTATGCAAAATCTAAAACATGTAATCCAGTTAGTCACAATATACTAGGCTGGGGTGGGCAAACTTTTTGGCCTGAGGGCCACATCAGGTTTCGTAAATTGTATGGAGGGCCGGTTAGGGGGGGCTGTCCCTCCTCAAACAGCCAGACGTGGCCGGGCCCCCGCCCCCATCCTCCCCCTGCTTCTTGCCCCCTGATGGGCCCCCCCCCCAGACTCCTGCCCCATCCAACCTCCCCTGTCCCCTGACCGCCCCTGGAACCCCTCCCCCTGACTGCCCCCCATCACCCCATCCAACCCCCCTCCTTCCTGACTGCCCCCCGGGATCCCTGCACCCATTCAACCCCCCCCATTCCCCGCCTCTGACCGCCCCAACCCATATCCACAACCCTGACCACCACCCCGAATTCCCCTACCCTCTCAACCCTCCCTGCCCCCTTACCACGCTGCCTGGAGCACCGGGTCAGGCCGCGGCTCTGCAGCTGTGCTGCCCAGCTGCCCAGAGCATTGCACCGGCGGCGTGGTGTGGCTTGCTGAGGTTGCGGGGGAGGGGAAACAGCAGAGGAGGGGCCGGGGGCTAGCCTCCGGGGCCAGGAGCTTAGGGGCCAGGCAGGATGGTCCCGTGGGCCATAGTTTGCCCGCCTCTGTACTAGGCTAACAGTGGGGTAGATGAGATGTTTTTAAAAAATTGCTTTCCTCCTCATGGCCCTGCCTGGAATCACTATATGATTGAACCTTACAGGAAATTGTAAACTCTGATGTTAGTTATCGTGAATAATGACTAGTTTCTTTTGTTACACTGAGATTACATTTTCCTCTCTTGTGATTTGTGAAAGGATAGAACCTATGTTAAATTAGAATCCTACAGACTGGGATTTCTTGTTAATTCAAACTGTGGCAGTCGAATTTCAAGGAATGCATTTGTTAATATGAGTACTTCTGTTGTAACCTATTTAAACACACAAGTTTTCCACCTTTCAGATACTTAAGCCCTGCTGCTAATGTGACCATTCTCCATATCTGCTTCTCATTTTTTAGAAAATGTGAGAGACTAATTGACTTGCTTTAGGTGGCAAGTTCTTCACATTAGAGAAACACCTATTGTTAGTAGTGTACGTTGTAGCACAAATGTGCATATTGTTGTGGACAGCAACTAAAGTAGTTTAAATGTTCTGTTTTTCATATGATTTATGTTTGTTTTTCTAGCTCTTGAGTCATAGTGAAAATATGTTCCTTATGCTAAGTGCAGATTAAAGGGTACATATTAGGCTATAAAGTTGGTTTTTGATGATGCAGCCTACTTTTCTCTTTCACAATGAGTAATTTTTCATCAAAATACAGTCTTCAGATCTTGATGGCAAGCTCCCAAATTGCAAAGCCAACGGAGTCATTTTCTTACACTGTTTTTTGTCCTGAGAGGTGAAGTTGGTTTCTTATCTGTTGCAGTAATATTTAAGATACATGACACAACATAAAAGTGGTTGTCCTTTGCTTGACATAGTAACCCAAGTTTGCTCTTAAAATTAACAAAAGAAGAGTTTGTAAACTTGTTTAAAATGGACTGTTGCATAAGCATAACACTTTAAAAAAGAATGGTACTTGGTGCACCACTGTGTGGATTATAAAGGCTAATTTAGATTTACAAATGGCTGACTAAAAAGCTCCTCCACCAAATTGTTACTTGTAAAATATACTGAAAAATGTATAACTGTTTTAGAATAGAATAGTAATGCTCTTGATGGCTCTTAACTCAATTTGAAACACTATTCACTTAGTGGAGGAAAATGGAATGTTCCAGAGTTACATCAGCTTTATTTATTTATTTTTTCCAGGTCACTCCGAGATCTGAGACCCCCATAAACAGTGTCAGTAACAGTTTGGAAAATGCACTACATACGTCAGCACATTCCATTGAGGAGTCGTTACCCAAGAGGTCTTCAGGAAAACACTCCAAAGGTGGGTCCCAACTTGCTTTGCATAATTCACATTGTATATCTCTAATTGCTTTAAGGAAGTATTTTATAATCCTGACCCAAGATTGTAACTGTGTTTCTTTGCTAACTTGTTGAATTTAGCAAGGATAGCACACTGAATGTAGAATGGTCATTGGAGAAAGTCATCTTAGTCTTCCAATAAATAGTTACATTTATATAGTAAGAGAGACATTCTACTGGGCAGTTAGCAATAATGTTGCTTACAACTTAACCCCCTTTTAACTCTTTTGACAAACGATGTCTTCGCGAAAACTAAATGTCTCCTGATTTGCTTAAGTAGTTGGTAGTCCATATATCTTGTGTCTTTGTGTAAGTAGTTAATTGATATATTTTAATATAAAAATGTTTGCTACGGTCAGTGTTGCTGTTCTTAGAGACAAGACAACGGGTAGAAGAACAGCTTTGTTTTGGTGTTCTGTTTTGGTTTTCAAGAGGACATTCCTGTGTGTGCAGTAAGGAGGGGTGGAGAGTAGGAGAATCAGTCGACCCTTGGACCCTCCTTCCCCCAGCCATACAACCCCTATTGTTCTGGTCATTCGCTAACTCTGAAAACTGAATGTTCATCCAAAATCACTAGGAGTTTAATTTAATGCTGCATTGCCAGTAGGTAATAATAAATGTACAGACCTTTCAGTGTCCAACATCTGTGTGTAAGTATACCTTTCATGTTGATATCGGTTATTTAAAAAAATGTTTGAGGAATGTTGGTGGTGGATGGGGAGCTAGCAGAGATTGTGCTCACACTTTGATCTTTGTACTTGTAGCAAACTGATACGTCGCCATGGGTGTAGTCAGCCTCATGGGAGGTTGGTATAGGAAGGAACAGTTCTAGTCATTTAATGGTACATTCAATGGGGACACAAGCAAAATAATAGGTTTCCTGAAATTTTGAGTTGTGGAGAGCAACGTTCCTTTCCACTCCCATCCCTTTGGCTTATGCTTAGAAATACTCAATCTCCTTTACTTTAGATCAGCAACACCCAGAATCTGAGTTCACTATTTTTTTTTATTGCAGGCAGATAGGGTGACCAGATGAGAGGAAGAAAATTTCGGGACACCGGGGGGGCAAAAAAAAAAAAAAAAAAAGCCGAGTGCTGCCGGCGGAGCGCAAAAAAACCCAAAACTGCTGGTGGAGCGAAATATCGGGACAAACAGCTAAAAATCGGGACATCTAGTCACCCTACAGGCAGAGAAATATGTGGCCCATGGTTATGTTGGGGAATATTTTGAGCTCTGAGCTAGTTGTAATGGGGTTTAAAGACTTTATACAGAGACTAAGAGAGTGAAGAAGCAGTATTGGACCAAGAGGTTCTCACCCCTCAGCAGCTGCGGAGCATGCTTCAAATGGAGGATCTGCTCAAAGGGGAATTCTGACAGTCAGGCAGAGAGTGGCGATGTGGGGATGAATAGGAATTAAGGAGAGGCTGTCCGAAGGTAGGAAGACAGTTTTCAGCTTCTGGGGACAGAGCTATCCACAGGAGAAGGATCTGGATTGTGCATAAAACCACAACCAAGAGGGTAAGGGCCTGACCCTTTCTCCATCCCCACTCCCTACTGAGATAGAATAACTGAACACTGGGAGGAGAGCTAGGGTATACTTATTTGACCATGTGAGCTGCTGAGACTGGGAACTCCCCACTGGAGTGGGGAGAGGACTGAAGAGAGAGCAGGGAGTTAGGAAGCAGCACGGGGGGAGTCTAGTTAAGTGCATTAGAAAGAGACAACTGAGGCACTTAACGCCACTCCCCTGGGGCCCTTAGCGGAGACTGCTGGAGATGGAGGTCCTGGGTCCCACCTACTGGCTACCGCCAGGAGAACTCTGGGGCACTGGGAATGACTGAATGAAGCTTGACTGCTAGCCTTGCTGACTGCTATGCAAGCCCATCCCAGGATACTGGGGTTGGAAGGACTATGGAGTTACGGCCTTCTGGCTAGACCTGCTGGCTTCCAAGTAAAACCGGCCGCTGTAGTTTTATATTTATGTAGAACAACTTTTGTTAACTGCCTTTGTAGGATCTGTATAGAAGAAATAATGCCGATTAAATTACACAAATTGATTAGTGCTAATATTTTGTCTTTAAATTTAGAATAGGCTTCAAATGTAACAACAAATCTAAGAAGTTATGGACTGAGTGATAAGTTCAAATAAAGAGCTGAAATCTAGTCATTTTGCTGGGGGCAATTTTGTGTAGTGGTTAGAGCAGTGGCCTGTAAATCTGGTCTCCTGGGTTCTGTCATTTGCTGTGTAACCTTGGATAAATCTCTCTCAACCTCTTTCTGCTTCAATTTCCCCATCTGTAAAATGGATATAGTAATACCACTTTGAAATCCTTGATGAACGGTGCTTTTACAAGTGCAGCATTATTTATTTGCTATAGAACCAGAGGAGCCAAAACAGATTGGAAGTAATTGAAGATCCTAAGCAAAACTTCTTGGCTTGTCTCCACTGGAAACTCCTATTTTGTGATTTACCCAACACTAATCTCAATAGCTATATGTAGCAGTAAATCTACAGCCAAATAATGCTGTAAGTAGCTATTTCTTCAGCTGTAAAAAATGCAACTCTCAGCCGAAACCTTCCAAGGTTTGTGACTTCCATCTGACAAAAATAGGACAGGGTTTGGCATTGAATTTTCATTCTTGGACCATGATTGTTGTTCTAGCATCAGAAAAGGTGCCAAGACTAGTCATGGTACAGACTGAAATTAATTACATTTTCCTCTTACACATTTTTTAATTTTTAATCTATGAATTTTAGAATAGGATAACCAGTTTGTTTGCAGGGATGTTGTTTAATGTGTATGTTGCAAAATGCTTAGTGATCAAAAGAAATCATGGAACAAAATACACTTATTTGAGTAACTAGTATTCTAGTTTCTGGTTAACCAGCAACAAAGACTATTTCTAACCCCTCTTCTATGTATGACAGTCTGTCCTGTGGGATGTTGGCCCTCTCCTGGCAGGTTGGAGTCAGATCTGAGATTGACAGCCAGCCTGGGGCCAGGACTGCCCCTCCGTGGAAAAAGCCCCTGATCTCTCTGCCTCCACTCCTGGGTGGACAGTTGACCAGGGGTCTCTCCATTGTAGCAGAGGCTTTCAGGGATAGAACAACCCCAAAATTTTGAATTTCACTCCATTGGAGACTCCAGAAACAAGTGTAAATATATTTTTTTAATTCTGTGGTTTTTGGCCAGGAGTTTCTAGCCAGCCTTTCCTCATATCCCTTCTCTGAAGGGATTGCTGCTGGGGCAGATTACAAATGCTCTAGGTTGCAAATGCTCTAGTTCCTCCTCTCTAGTCAGGAGCACTAAGCCACACTGCTCCAGCTGCAGAGAGGAGCTTGTGCCTGAAATAGAGAGCAACCCAGAGGTGAAGGAGAGGGCCAGGTCTCCCTGAAACACTCCAGACACCCTTGGCAGGCAGGAGGGCTAGGTCCTTACCAAGCCAGGGAATTTGGCCACGGATACAATTTGAAAATGATTTGCATCCTGACTTGCAGAAATCTTAGTAAACCATACACTCTGTGGTTGTACTTGTTTTTAGCAGGATTTTCTGGGTCCTGGGAATATTGACAGTGGTTGTTAATTAACCCCCTATCCTTCACCCTTAGTATCCAGCTTTCAGTGCACTTGGAGGTAGAAATATTGCATACTCCTAGCTGGTGAAGGAGGCAAGAAAAACAGTGGGCTATACTGTTATGCCTGCTGAATACTTCTTGGTGATGACCTAGCTTCAGTAATTCTAGTTTGTATAAATAGTGTAGTTAGTGTATTTGCAGTATTTTATATTGTCCTGGTTGGTTTGGTGGGGGGTGTTTTTTTTTCATTTGTTTGTTTGCTTGGTCATCTGTGTGTCACAAGATGGTTAGCTGGAAATATTTATATGTGAGAGATAACATATATAGCTTAACTTAGTCTTCTTCACCTGGTTATTTGCCTAACATATATGTTACAGTTAGAACATCTAAACATCTACTTTAGATGTTCTAAAGTAGTTGTCCCATCTGTGTAAAATATATCCTTGCTTTAAATAACAAATTTCTTGTGCAGAATAAATGTTAGTCTTTAGAGATTTATAAACCTTGCCTTTTTTCTTCATGCTAAGGTCCATAAATCTCTTACAATGAGGACTATGCCCTGTTTGCAACTTGGGGATAGAACCAGACCCCACAGTCACTGGCAACAGGGGAATGTGTCCTGTCTCTGTCCCTTGAAGTTCCCTCCACTTATTTTTCCTGCTCTCACAGTAGCATGCAGTCTCAGCCAGCCTTTTTTGCTGTAGGGGTTTTCTGAGGGAAATTCTAAACTTTATTTCAAATTTGTAGACTAACAATTTGGTTCAATAATGTATCTCTCCAATTCCCAGCCATATTCCAGGGCTGCATTTAGTTTTGGGAGAGACTGTCCCTTCAGCTTTGTTTCCTCCTCTGAGGTGTAGCTCACAGAGGAGGTCTGCTATTGCAAGACCATTTCTCCATCTGGGACCAGGTAGGTTTAAAATGAATACTTTGTTGAAGTGATTATTGGTCTCATGCACCCCAAAAGGGAAGTTGACCAATAGAACTTTTTCTACTAGGTAGTGCAAAGTCTATAGTTTAGTTACCGTGTTAAGCCAGTGAAACATAGCCTTGAATACCTCCTAGGAGGGTTTTATTGTGGGTATATAAACGTCACAGCAAAAAGATCAAGTCTCTGTGCTAAGTACATTTCTATACAGTTTCCAACATTAAAACCTCATTTTGTTCCTCACAGGAGTGTGGTGTGTAACCCCCTGCAGTTACACTTCCTATCCATTGGAGTAAGCCTCCTGATGGCTACTATCTCCAATCAGATAATTTGGTTTTATTTGAAGTTGAGAACTTTCTCTAATTAGACCTGGTATTGTACTTTTTTACGCAAACAGGTATTCCTTGCAACTTTTGTAGCATTAATTCCCTAAATAAATCCAAGAAATATTCCTCCT